ATTTATTTGGAAAAAGAATAATGTACATCTTTTTTTATTTCAATTGTGTACGCCTTTCCTCTAGTAAGAGATTGGCTACAGAAAATAACCTTAGAAGCCGAACTTGCAACTGATAAATTTTAATCGATAATTTTCTCAAAAAAGGAAATGAATATTCCTGCTTCCAAAACTTCAAAATATTATCTTGTTATTTATCTTATATGAATCTTTTAAGTTCATCCTCACAGCTTTCATCGGTGATGCTGATGCTTCATCAGAATCATCTAGAAATATACGGTCTTTTATGAGTGTAGAATGAATTAGGAAAGTGATAGTTGGTATTGATCATTTAGAATATATGGTTTTTTATGAGTTTAGGATAAGTTAGGAAAGTTATAAATGGTAGTTGGCATCGACTTATGCATATCATCTAATTTTATATCATTTAGCATTTTTAAGATTGTTTTATTTATATCATTTTCTTCTTTTATTAAAAACTTAAGTCTTTTTAAATTCGGATTTAGAATTAAGCCTACTATAGTGGCTGCATAATAATCTTTTAAATGAAATCTTGTTCTGTATTTTAAGGTTTTGATTATTATTGTATCACGTTCAGAAGGTTAACAAAATTTTATTAATTTTCATAGACAAACTTTTTGTGGGACGAGAATCTGCTCTTAGATTATCCGAGCATTTATTAAATATTGATAAAAGTTAATCTAACTAGCGTATGATGCTGATATCAATTGTGGCTAATCTATTTAATTCTTGTTTGCTAAACAAGTACACCTATATTTCAGAATATGATTTTAAGAAACTCTGTATCATACAGAGTTCCATCTCGTTATTCTCGTTATTATCTTGTTTAAGGATGTGGCTTAGTTTGCTATTAGCTATAGATTCTAATATTGTACTATTTTTTTTTACCCCATTTATATTTAAGGCTATTTCAGTTAAAAAATTGTCAAAAATATAATGCATAATATTATTTAGTATATGGCATATACATGCTAACGTTTCGTCATCTTTGAATGCACTTATAAGATTTGCTCCGTTATCACTCACAACTATACATTTATTTAAGTAATTTTCTACTTCTGTATATACTCCTAAAATTGAATTGACTACACTTTTAATTTTTACGTTTTTTTCATCCATTGCCCTTGTGACCAAAACAAATGTTTTTAATTAAAATCCTTAATGATAATATGTCCTATAATGGTTAAAAAACTTAGATTTTTATAGTCATCCGTTCAAATATCAGTGATTATGGACAATGATCATGCTTTTAATCTTAAATTTTATTTCATGGTATATTTTTGGACCTATAGTATTCATGAGAGTTTTCCGGTTCACAACTTTTATATTTTGTTATCCATATGTAACACCAACATTTATCTCTTGGCCTAGCTTGTAAAATCCTTCACTTTCTGTTGCATTTAAAGATTGAAGATCTTTACAAATAAAATATAACTGACTTTTCTGTAAAAAATTTAAGCAACATTTAGCATACAGTCTCGCGATAAAAAACACTTAAACATAAAAAGAAAATAGAACTAATAAAATGATACCGTATGTTGTTTATAAAATGCGGAAGATTTTTAGTTTTCATAAATTATTCTTTTTTAAAAAAGAACTAAATTAAATCAGAAAATTTATAATCTTCTATATTAATAAAAGGCTTAAAATATACTGTCACACGATTAGCCAATAGAATTTCGTGCCTTATCAAGTCAATTATTTGTACCTGATAATAGTCAATCATAATTTTGTTAATATATTATGTAATATTCAACTTCTTTATTAATTATAGGATGTTTGTCCTACTTAAATAGGGAGTGATTCTTAATAATATTTAATTAATATTAACAAATTCGGAAGTATTTAAGTTATGCTAAATTGTAGTTTTAATCTCCATGATATTTAGCGCCATCTATAATATTATATTTTATTTTAAATAGCATTATATTTCAAAGTGGAAATGTAAATGTTTTGTCTTAATTGATGTCAAATATATTGTTCTTTCTATATATCTATAATTTATCTATCTATCATAGCAATTTTAAGCCAATTTAGATCATATTAGCAAAATAGATTTAATCTCCTATAAATCATGGAAAGCATTTCAGAAGTATTTTGAGGCAATAGGCAGGAAGGAACATTAGTATGAAAAAAATGTTTGCAGATAATCCTACAAGAGCTAAGGAATTCAAATTTATAATATATATATTCAATAAAAATCATCATAGCTTAACCATATCAAACACGCATTCATAAACCAAATCGAACCGCCATTTTCAAAAAAAAACAATACTGAATTACAAAACATATAATAATATAAATATAATTACAATATTAACATAATTAGATATATTTTTTAACAGACACCACATCGAGCAAAACCATCATAGATAAGATACCATCATCATCATCAGTAAATTTTATTTTATACTTTCAATTTACACGTCTTATTTCCAGTTATTTACGGCAAGTTACGAGCAAGGAAATTACATCAAAAAAACGACACCACATTGAGAAAAACCATCATAGACAAGATACCATCATCATCAGTAAATTTCATTTTATACTTTGCCTATGAGATAACCTTAAAAAACTTATTTATAAGGTTATCTCATAAGCAATATAATTTAAAATTTTTATAAATACTAATTTTTTAGACTCCTATACAAAAAACAAACTTACATAATAAATAGATATAATATTAAATAAGTTTTTTAAGGTTATCTCATAGGCAACGTAAGTTAAAATTTTTATAAATACTATTTTTTTAGATTCCTGCACAAAAAACAAACTTACATAATAAATACATATAATATTAAATAAGTTTTTTAAGGTTATCTCATAGGCAATGTAAGTTAAAATTTTTATAAATACTATTTTTTTAGATTCCTGCACAAAAAACAAACTTACATAATAAATAGATATAATATTAAATAAGTTTTTTAAGGTTATCTCATAGGCAATGTAAGCTAAAATTTTTATAAATACTATTTTTTTAGATTCCTGAACAAAAAACAAACTTACATAATAAATAGATATAATATTAAATAAGTTTTTTAAGGTTATCTCATAGGCAATGTAAGTTAAAATTTTTATAAATACTATTTTTTTAGATTCCTGCACAAAAAACAAACTTACATAATAAATACATATAATATTAAATAAGTTTTTTAAGGTTATCTCATAGGCAATGTAAGTTAAAATTTTTATAAATACTATTTTTTTAGATTCCTGCACAAAAAACAAACTTACATAATAAATAGATATAATATTAAATAAGTTTTTTAAGGTTATCTCATAGGCAATGTAAGTTAAAATTTTTATAAATACTTTTTTAGATTCCTGCACAAAATAATCTAATACTGTAGATAAATTTATAATAAATTAAAAACATAAAAATAAGTTGATTTAACATTTATGAATTATAATGATTATTGCACCAATAATTGCACAAATATATTTTACAAATATATCATTGGGTAAGATATATAAGGAAATATTTTTCACACTTACCCGAAATAAATTTAAAAATATAAAATATTTGTATTAATTAAATTTTTATTTTTACTTTTTTAAAATATATGTTATTTTGGACATCGTTTATATATTTTTTAACTGGTCATTGGTTTATTTATTTGAATGGGTTAATAAAATATATTATCAATAGGTAATGACGTATAATTGTAAATAATATTGACATTGCTTTTAAACATCTATATATCTCTACTTTTAGATGAATTTATCAGTTATTGAGATTGGCTTAAGTGGTATTAGTTTTATATTTTGGTTTGTATTGGTATTAGTTTTGTAACCCAATAAAATATTGAATATTGTTGTCTGTCTTAGAATTTTTTTATCAATGAAAGCTAACCCCCCCCCCTTCCATCTATCACCTAACATATAAATTGTAATAATAAAAAGATGATACTATTTATAAAGTAACTTTTGTATTAAGTGAAAAAAAGTAAAGGCACATTGAATATGACATGTTAGAAACAGTTATGTCAAACATCGCTATTCTGCTATAATTTAATTTTATGCTACTACTGTTTATGTTTCTATAGTCATATTGTATAGAAATCTTCTAAGTTATATATGCGACTTATACAGTAGCTACAATTGATATTTAAGGATTCTATAGAAAAAGAGCAAGACAGCGGGTATAATATACCTCATATATACTTACGTTTTATCTGAGCATCTTATTTTATATTTGAAAATTCATTTATCTATTCTGTTTTACCCACGTTAAGTGGCAGATTTAGGGAAGTTAAAATTTTTATAAATACTATTTTTTTAGATTCCTGCACAAAAAACACACATACATAATAAATACATAATAAATACATATAATATTAAATAAGTTTTTTAAGGTTATCTCATAGGCAATGTAAGTTAAAATTTTTATAAATACTATTTTTTTAGATTCCTGTACAAAAAACAAACTTACATAATAAATACGTATAATATTAAATAAGTTTTTTAAGGTTACATAGGCAATGTTATTTAAAATTTTTATAAATACTATTTTTATAGATTCCTGCACAAAAACAAACTTACATATTAAATACATATAATATTAAATAAGTTTTTTAAGGTTATCTCATAGGCAATGTAAGTTAAAATTTTTATAAATACTATTTTATTATTTTTTTTAGATTCATACACAAGATACCATTCAACAAACAAACAATGGAACGTTTCATACTACCAAAATCTAAAGAGCAAGGCATTATTGCTTCAACATCCTATTGCACGACCATGGTTTTCGTTGTAGTAATTTCAATTTGCCTGTTCCTACTTTAATAGCTCAGGATGATTTTTATAATAAGGATCTTGAGGCAGCTGAGGCATTGAAACTAATTACTAAATTAAATTTTTTACAAAAATCAGCCTTTGATTTAATCGTTCAATCTATCGAAAATAATGATTTTCCTCAGCGTTGTTTTTATATTGATGGTCCAGGTGGATCGGGAAAAACTTTTTTGTATAATACCCTAATGTGCTACATTAGAGGACGTTACCAAATAGTTTTACCGTTTGCAACAACAGGCTTTGCTGCTATTCTTTTAAAAGGGGGTAGAACAATACATAGTGGATTTAAATTACCTATTCCGATTGTTGATAACTCTGTATCTCGCATGAGTCTTCATTCCCCTGATGCTACTGTTATCAAAAGGTCCAAATTAATTATTATCGACGAAGCCACAATGATGACTAAATACGCTTTACGCTGTATCGATAGATTACAAAATATAATGCAAACACAGTTCCCATTCGGTGGTAAAATTATATTATTGGGCGGCGATTTTAGGCAAACTTTACTTGTCATTCCAAACAGTTCAAAAGCAGATATTATAGAATTGTGTCTTAAGTCTTCTGATATATGGGTTTATTTTAAAGTTATCCACCTGAATGAATATATGCGGTTATCTTCTGAAGATGTTGAGTATAATTCCTGGCTTTAGAATGTTGGAGAATCTTTATCAAATGTTTCCAATCCTTTACTCCCTCCAGATTCGATTGAAATCCCAAATTCATTATTAGAAAATTCATTAATCAATTCAATATATGAGACTCCATACAAATATCTGATATTAACCTATTTTCAAAAAAAAGTATATTAACCACTAAAAATAACATAGCCCTAAATTTAAATAACGAAATTATTCAAAAACTACCAGGAAATTCTAAAATATATTTTAGCGCTGATTCTATACAAACAGATAATCCTGAGGATTTACTTAATTTCCCATTGAATTTTATCATTCTCAAACCCCATCAGGAATGCCTCCTCTTATTTTAAATCTTAAAGTTGGGACAATAATAATGCTTCTTCGTAACATGAATCCCAGCAGAGGCTTATGCAATGGGACACGACTTCTTATCAAAAATTTACATGATAATTTCATAGATTCTGAAATATTATCAGGGACGCATAATGGCCATCGCGTTTTTATGCCTCGAATTGATCTTTCCCCGAGCGATTCCCGGTTGCCTTTCATATTAAAAAGACGCCAATTTCCTATAATTCCTGCTTTTGTTATCACTATAAACAAAAGTCAAGGTGAAACATTCGACAATGTCGGCCTCTTTCTTCCTGAACCTGTATTTTCCCATGGTCAGCTATATGTCGCTCTAACACGTTGCAGATTTAAAAAAATATGAAAATAAAAATATTACCTACAAAAAACCAGGGCACACTTTTGAATGATAATAGAGCATTTACTCTTAATGTCGTATATCAGGACGTATTAAATTCTGTAGCTTCAAGTTAATTCATCAAAAACGACACCACATAGAGCAAAAACATCATAGACACGATACCATCATCATCATCAGTAATATTTTATACTTCCAATTTACACGTTTTATTTCCAGTTATTTACAGCAAGTTACGAGCAAGGAAATTACATCAAAAAAACGACACTACATCGACCAAAAACATCATAAACACGATACCATCATCATCATCAACATCAATAAATTTTATTTTATACTTCCAATTTACACGTTTTATTTCCAGTTGTTTACGGCAAGTTACGAGCAAGGAAATTACATCAAAAAACGACACTACATCGACCAAAAACATCATAGACACGATACCATCATCATCATCAGTAAATTTTATTTTATACTTCCAATTTACACGTTTTATTTCCAGTTATTTACGGCAAGTTACGAGCAAGGAAATTACAAAAAAAAACGACACCACATCAACCAAAAACATCATAGACACGATACAATCATCATCATCAGTAAATTTTATTTTATACTTCCAATTTACACGTTTTATTTCCAGTTATTTACGGCAAGTTACGAGCAAGGAAATTACATCAAAAAAACGACACTACATCGACCAAAAACATCATAGACACGATACCATCATCATCATCAATAAATTTTACTATATTATATTTTTTTATATGGTTACAAATGTATATCTGTTGGAACCCCATAATCGTTAAGTCTTAAGGTATACACAATTATTATATTTTCTTATAATTCATATCTTTGTCTCTTTTTTTTCTATTTCTTCCTTCTTTTATTCATTCTTTTTTTTATTTCTTTGCTCCCCTAAAATCCATCTCCTACCTTTACGCGGTGGGGAGTGAACAGAAATGCTGACTAACAGGAGCTCTGGTGGATAATGTAGTATTTGGGGTTCCAATAAGAGACATTGTTTCCATGTAATAAATCTTAATTATTGGGTAAAATTTTCTTTTATCTTTTAAATGTGAGCAAGGTGTATATTTGTGCCCTTTATTGACAATAAAGAAAATGTCTCAAGCACCGGGATGTCTCGACTATATTTAAGAACCTGAGAGCCTAATATCTATCATCCTTTCATAGATTGAGTTTTTAAAGATATAAAATAGTTATAAAGGAGAAAATTCTAATTCCCCGTCATTCTTGACGGGTTATTAGCTAGTATTATTATAAAATTGCAAATTTATAATTATAAAATTACAAATTTATATTTATAAAAAAACAATTTTAAAATTAAAATTTCCGTGATTCACGGGAAATTTATGTTCACGCCCGATCACGCCCGCGGAAATTGTTGGGAAGGCCTGCCACACCCTGTCACGCCTTGGAATTTAAAATTTATTCACACTCACCCCGTGACCCACCGTGACATGATGGGTCACGCCTAATTTCACGGCCCGCGCCCACCTCTAGTAAACATGTTAAATCAAAATTTCAGTGAAGATGTACCATAGAAAAGTGACAATTGTCATAATCGTCATTTTAAAAGTTTTTGAATTTTTTAACACAAGTAGGTAAAAATATAGATTGTAAACATGTTAAAATAAAATTTAAGCGAAGATGTACCATAGGAAAGTGACAATTGTCATAATCGTCATTTTAAAAGTTTTTGAATTTTTTAACACAAGTGGGTAAAAATATAGATTGTAAACATGTTAAAATAAAATTTAGGCGAAGATGTACCATAGGAAAGTGACAATTGTCATAATCGTCATTTTTAAGTTTTTTTGAAACTTTTTGAAGCAAATTGGTAAAAATATATATTGTAAACATGTTAAATTAAAATTTCAGTGAAGATGTACAATAGAAAAGTTACAATTGTCATAATCGTCATTTTAAAAGTTTTTGAATTTTTTTAATGCAAGAGGGTAAAAATATAGATTGTAAACATGTTAAAATAAAATTTAAGCGAAGATGTACCATAGAAAAGTGACAATTGTCATAATCGTCATTTTTAAGTTTTTTTGAAATTTTTTGAAGCAAATGGATAAAAATATATATTGTAAACATGTTAAATTAAAATTTCAGTGAAGATGTACCATAGAAAAGTGACAATTGTCATAATCGTCATTTTAAAAGTTTTTGAATTTTTTTAATGCAAGAGGGTAAAAATATAGATTGTAAACATGTTAAAATAAAATTTAAGCGAAGATGTACCATAGGAAAGTGACAATTGTCATAATCGTCATTTTTAAGTTTTTTTGAATTTTTTTAATGCAAGAGGGTAAAAATATAGATTGTAAACATGTTAAAATAAAATTTAAGCGAAGATGTACCATAGGAAAGTGACAATTGTCATTTTAAGTTTTTTTGAAACTTTTTGAAGCAAATTGGTAAAAATATATATTTGTTAAATTAAAATTTCAGTGAAGATGTACCATAGAAAAGTGACAATTGTCATAATCGTCATTTTAAAAGTTTTTGAATTTTTTAACACAAGTGGGTAAAAATATAGATTGTAAACATGTTAAAATAAAATTTAAGCGAAGATGTACCATAGGAAAGTGACAATTGTCATAATCGTCATTTTTAAGTTTTTTTGAAACTTTTTGAAGCAAATTGGTAAAAATATATATTGTATACATGTTAAATTAAAATTTCAGTGAAGATGTACCATAGAAAAGTGACAATTGTCATAATCGTCATTTTAAAAGTTTTTGAATTTTTTAACACAAGTGGGTAAAAATATAGATTGTAAACATGTTAAAATAAAATTTAAGCGAAGATGTACCATAGGAAAGTGACAATTGTCATAATCGTCATTTTTAAGTTTTTTTGAAACTTTTTGAAGCAAATTGGTAAAAATATATATTGTAAACATGTTAAATTAAAATTTCAGTGAAGATGTACCATAGAAAAGTGACAATTGTCATAATCGTCATTTTAAAAGTTTTTGAATTTTTTAATGCAAGAGGGTAAAAATATAGATTGTAAACATGTTAAAATAAAATTTAAGCGAAGATGTACCATAGGAAAGTGACAATTGTCATAATCGTCATTTTTAAGTTTTTTTGAAACTTTTTGAAGCAAATTGGTAAAAATATATATTGTAAACATGTTAAATTAAAATTTCAGTGAAGATGTACCATAGAAAAGTGACAATTGTCATAATCGTCATTTTAAAAGTTTTTGAATTTTTTAACACAAGTGGGTAAAAACATAGATTGTAAACATGTTAAAATAAAATTTAAGCGAAGATGTACCATAGGAAAGTTACAATTGTCATAATCGTCATTTTTAAGTTTTTTTGAAACTTTTTGAAGCAAATTGGTAAAAATATATATTGTAAACATGTTAAATTAAACATTCAGTGAAGATGTACCATAGAAAAGTGACAATTGTCATAATCGTCATTTTAAAAGTTTTTGAATTTTTTAACACAAGTGGGTAAAAATATAGATTGTAAACATGTTAAAATAAAATTTAGGCGAAGATGTACCATAGGAAAGTGACAATTGTCATAATCGTCATTTTTAAGTTTTTTTGAAACTTTTTGAAGCAAATTGGTAAAAATATATATTGTAAACATGTTAAATTAAAATTTCAGTGAAGATGTACAATAGAAAAGTTACAATTGTCATAATCGTCATTTTAAAAGTTTTTGAATTTTTTTAATGCAAGAGGGTAAAAATATAGATTGTAAACATGTTAAAATAAAATTTAAGCGAAGATGTACCATAGGAAAGTGACAATTGTCATAATCGTCATTTTTAAGTTTTTTTGAAACTTTTTGAAGCAAATTGGTAAAAATATATATTGTAAACATGTTAAATTAAAATTTCAGTGAAGATGTACCATAGAAAAGTGACAATTGTCATAATCGTCATTTTTAAGTTTTTTTGAAATTTTTTGAAGCAAATGGATAAAAATATATATTGTAAACATGTTAAATTAAAATTTCAGTGAAGATGTACCATAGAAAAGTGACAATTGTCATAATCGTCATTTTAAAAGTTTTTGAATTTTTTTAATGCAAGAGGGTAAAAATATAGATTGTAAACATGTTAAAATAAAATTTAAGCGAAGATGTACCATAGGAAAGTGACAATTGTCATAATCGTCATTTTTAAGTTTTTTTGAATTTTTTTAATGCAAGAGGGTAAAAATATAGATTGTAAACATGTTAAAATAAAATTTAAGCGAAGATGTACCATAGGAAAGTGACAATTGTCATTTTAAGTTTTTTTGAAACTTTTTGAAGCAAATTGGTAAAAATATATATTTGTTAAATTAAAATTTCAGTGAAGATGTACCATAGAAAAGTGACAATTGTCATAATCGTCATTTTAAAAGTTTTTGAATTTTTTAACACAAGTGGGTAAAAATATAGATTGTAAACATGTTAAAATAAAATTTAAGCGAAGATGTACCATAGGAAAGTGACAATTGTCATAATCGTCATTTTTAAGTTTTTTTGAAACTTTTTGAAGCAAATTGGTAAAAATATATATTGTATACATGTTAAATTAAAATTTCAGTGAAGATGTACCATAGAAAAGTGACAATTGTCATAATCGTCATTTTAAAAGTTTTTGAATTTTTTAACACAAGTGGGTAAAAATATAGATTGTAAACATGTTAAAATAAAATTTAAGCGAAGATGTACCATAGGAAAGTGACAATTGTCATAATCGTCATTTTTAAGTTTTTTTGAAACTTTTTGAAGCAAATTGGTAAAAATATATATTGTAAACATGTTAAATTAAAATTTCAGTGAAGATGTACCATAGAAAAGTCACAATTGTCATAATCGTCATTTTAAAAGTTTTTGAATTTTTTTAATGCAAGAGGGTAAAAATATAGATTGTAAACATGTTAAAATAAAATTTAAGCGAAGATGTACCATAGGAAAGTGACAATTGTCATAATCGTCATTTTTAAGTTTTTTTGAAACTTTT